AGCATACATATCATGATGGCATCACTATGCAACACCTTTCGACTCAGAAAAGGGGCACTTTCCTCTATAGGTGACGATCGCGAACAAACAGAAACATGTCGACCAGAGAATCAACAAAGAAGGAATTCAATGTCAAAATTTAGAGTCCTAAAGGTAACTAATGATTGGTTTAGTGCCATCTACTCTGCAAATGATGAATTGTCAGTATAAATAGTTGGCATACTTTGTGTCCAAAACATGGGTAGTTCTTGAGTGAAACCTTTCATACTGGACACGAACCTGGTCCAAGTGGGACATCGAGTTTTGCAAAGACACCCAATACGGTTCTCCAGCTAGAGAACCCTTGAGCCACATTCAGAGCGATGAACCACACCCTATCCCCCCCAAGCCCTTGCTGCTTCAGTTTTGTTATCTTTCTACAACTAAAGTACTGTATTTTTTTTTGTGCGGCATGCCAGTTCTTACCCCACAAGAGAGACCACGAATTGCCAAGGATCAAGTAGAAGGTCAAATGAAATACGAAGTGTGCAGCCGGGGCAAAATGGTAGGTCTGCGACCTGACCGGAAGCCACTCAAGCGGTTAACTGTCGCGGAAGAGCTTCGGAAGTCGACACCGAGAGCCGTGGGGTGGACTTCGCCCGAGCTCCGAAGGTTTGGGCACTGTGCCGAGTTGTTTCAGGACTTTCTATCCCAAATCCAACGACCCAGCGAACAGCTGGTCCTTGACCTGAATGAGCCAAATACAAGTTGATTGGCCAAGCACAGAACGGCGCGCATCAGTAGATTGGAATTCAAGAACACGTGATTTCGGCCCTGTTCTGCTTCAGCCATGGGAATTCCTGTGGTCAGGCTACTGCAACCCGGGCAAGATCCTGCCAAATTCAAGCTCCAAAAGGAATGAAGCACCTAATTACAACTTAAGAGCAAGCCTAACAGTATAGACCAATCAAAACCCGTGATACTATAAATAGCAGAACAACACCATGACTTCACCTGCCAAGTGGCCATGCCGGAAACCAGGGCTCGTAGTGCGAGACTTGAGTCCAGAAAATCATCACACACAGGAAATGCAGGACGATCCGTGTCGTGTCATGCCTGGGATCGATCCGCGTCACCAGATCCAAGGCGGACGAACCGAGACAACGGAGAAACCGAGACACTGTTGGGTGAGGCACAAACGAAACCCATGTGTATGGACCTATGGATTTCAACTAGGTTCAAAACCACCACCCAGTTTGGATGGTCACAGTGAAAGACGGGTCTCAAATCTCTCGAAGTGTCATCAACATCAGCTTTACACAAGATGGAGCCAGTCTTCCTCTACCTGCGCCAGGAATATGGCCATGTGCAGTCAGACAAGTCTAGGACGTCGCCGATTTCGGGTTTATACAAGTGCCAGGATGCTGGATGTTCAGGCTGGCCCCCACCAAGAGGCAGGCGATGCCAGTGACCACTTTGCTGAAATGCAGATTCAATGCGTTGCCTCGGAGAAAAAAATAGTGTTGCGCCACGCGCTGGCCGAGTCCAGTATAGTCCAGTGACTCGGGACGAACTGAAATGCACGACGTCGGAAGAAGGGAATGAAGGCGCTTCGCCCTCTTCGCCCCGTTGGTTGCTAAAGGTAATGATAGAACTGGTGTATCAAACATCTCCAGAAACCTTTGATAACTTCAAGAAGGACCTCTATGGCTCTATGGAACCATTAGGATGTTTTAAACAAAACTGGAGGAACACCTAATCACTTCAGGAGACAAAACAAAGTAACATGGAATCGGCACTTAAAAAAAACAGACCTCCCTGGGAATGCTCAAGGCATTACTTCAAAGAGTTGTTAAACATCTACCTACTACATACTTCTATCCGATTCCACCCAACAAATCTTGAACCCCCTTCAATATCACGCAATATCTAGGCTGCACAGTTTGCCAACAAACAGCTGCGCACACCAAAAAAGGTCTATAAAACACAACAGTTGTCTCTGGAAAAACCTGGGGCAAAGTTCTTTCCTATGTTCAAACCGAAGGGTCCGAATTGACCATCGCTTCAAAAGATGTGATTCACTCTGCGAACGGAAAGGCAAAATAGCACGTGAAGCAGTAACGAGCCTGAAGTCGCATTCTTAGTTGATGTGGTTCCAGAGAAAATGGCACCGTCACCCAAACAAGTCTATAGAAAATGGGCGTCCACTCTGAAACCACCATGGCCTTGGGGGCCCAAACGAAACATGCCATCCACTCTGAAACCACGGCTTCAGTGACGTGTCTTTTCTTGAAACGAACTCATCAGCTTGGACCAACTCATGAAAACCCATCTCATCCAGGCCGCCGGCCAAGCCAAGCAAGACTCCCAACACCGAGGCCAAAGCCAGCCTGGTTGGTTTCAACGAAACAGACAGAGTCTACGTCGTCCGTGGGTGACAAATCATCCCAAACAGACGGACAAAAACACATTTGAATACATCAAAAATCCTCCGCAACTGCCGCACCCAGCAACAGTTGCAGGGATCGGCAGATCTCATGGCGGTGAGAGCTCTTGGCGACTAAGATCCTGGATGAAACCGACCGATGGACGGAACGGTCGACATCGAGCCGATCGAGAGAACGACCTCCGCCAAGAGCGGTGACGCGGGCCACCCCAACATATCAAAAAAAGATGCCATTGCAGAGTTATGATCCCAACAATGGAGCTATAGTTATAGATGTGGGTATATATGCCATGTTGGAGGTCCATATAGGTGATTCACGATGAACTCCTGATCTTTTAAATTGGATGTGGGAACTTTGAGATCTTTTGATGGGCGGCATGTACTCAAAATATCTCAAAATGGTCCTTCAAACAACAGGGTTGAGTAGTCCGTGATCATGATGGTTGACTCAAATTTTCATAGCAAGCAATATCAATTCAATACACTCCCTGGAACTAACATGGAAGTGGAGAATAACCCATTGGAAGACCACTTTCCACTACAAACAGGTGGTTTTCCACTTCCATGTTAGTTCTAGGGAGAGTAGATAGTGCCTTTTTTTCAGACAAGTCAATGATTCCATCTGTTCCTGAGGGTTGACGTTGTGCCCCATTGTGCCCCCACATAGTTTGAGGAAACAAAACACATCAAACATAGAAAACGGTTTCCACCCATAAGAGAAACATATAAATGTGATGATGCTGCATCTTGGAAAGACTGACTGCTCAGTAAGTCTATTGTTTAATCTGTCCTAAACAGGCAAAGTGGCATTCAAATGACCTTCTTGCAACACGTTTCCGTATAGTCACAGTCTGTGCATGACCAGAGCATTCTATGTGATTCTTGATGCATGTTCATTGACATCTGCCAGTGCTACGCCAATATGTGGGTCAGTGTAGGCTAGTGCTCTGTGTAGTCCACATCAGTTTGGTAGTCCACATCTGTTCACACAAAGGTGTCCAAAAGCCTTCTCACCCCATGTTACCAAAGTTAGAGGAACATCTACAAAAAGCATAAAGAGTCCATCTTCTCATGTTTGGGCAGGAAGTTTCCCAAATCCAGACCAACTCCAAGCTACACATGCTATCACACCTTTGTTTTTCTTCTCCCGTCCTCTTGCCCTCTTCTTGCGCCAAGTAAGCTTCATACGCGCACCAAAGTCCTCGGCTCACCCAACCCGCCGTTTCCTGCCCTTTGGAGACGACCGTCGGTGGTGTTCTGGCAAAAACGAATGAAGCATTGTTGCTATAGTAGCAAAAGGAACCTAATAGTAATGGCCTCCACCCTAATAGCGCCTCCACCGTGCGGAGCTTCTAGCTACGTTCGTAGCTTCTTGTTCTGCGGAACATCAGCGCTGTCCAGTGCTTGCGGGGCACCAAACGAACCAGGAAACACCAGACGAACGGAAGGTCCTGGATGGTCCTGGTCGGGTTTTTTGTTTGATATATATATAGTTAACCAAGATGTTCATTGAACGACTGGACAGTACGGGACTATGAGCAAAGGCCATAGGCGTGTTCAGCCCATAGTTCCTAATATGAAATGATGCACCCACATCGTACTTCCGCTCCCTCCAGGACCACGAACCCGCCACCGCCACCGACACCGACACCGCACCGTTTGCTTCGGTCGCAGAGTCGGGTGTAGACGCTCTGGTGCCGGTTGGGCACCACCAGGACCATCTCCGAGGCCTTCAAGGCCAAGGCGAAGGGCGACGTGCTGGGCGAAGTGAGGAAGAGCGCCTCGGGGCGGTCAGGCTGCGGACACCCCGGTGTTAAGAACCCCCCAAGAAACGATCCCAACAGCATGGCAAAGGCAGGTCGTTTTCACCCGTTGCTGTCGCCACTCTGCGGTTTTTGGTTGTGGGTCAAAACTAGGACACCCTGGTGGACCACGGGTCAAATGAACAGACTCGACTCCCGGGGTTCAACCTACCGAGTTCCAGGATGTTCGCCCGTGACCCACAGCCATCCTGCTTGGTGGTTACTGATCGTTACTGGTCGTGCCTTTTTTGACACCAAATGCAGAAATGCAGCTACACAACATGTGCATGAATCAATCCCAAAGGCTGCATTTACGTGCTTGAAGATTTACATTTAGATTTACCATGCATTTATTTGTCCTGATGTAGGCAAATATGCCATACTGAAAGGTCAGTGTCACCCAGTGTGGCAGGGGGACCTGCTTTCTTCTGAAACTGCGCCAAGAACTGCAAATCCGCAAATCCAAGAAACGATGTTGAGGTTCTGGGGGTTGGCCAACATGCAACACCAAGCATGCAGTGCAGCTCGAGGCCAGGAATGTCGAACTTTGGTGAGAAACTCAAAGACACCTTCCTGCCACGCATGGCTGATGAATAAGTGGCACTCCAAACCTGGCAAACGTGACGTGACAGACCCAAGGCAACCAGGTTCATGAAATGGTTCATCAATCAACCGGATGTTGCAGGGCCAAATCACAAAAGAATCTTCTTAAACTTCTCCCAAGAAACCCTCTGGATTCTTCATCAGCGCCCAACTCATCTTGCCTGCCTTGCTGGTCACTGGCTTGATGTACTGCTCATTCACCGTGTAAATGCTGGGCCCATAGATACAATCGAAGGACTGAAACTCGTCGCGCCCATCCGGAGGCGGTCGAATCTCGGATCGGCGAATGCTCAGCTGAACGTCCTGTCGCAAGAAGAGCAGGTCCTGCGGGTCACGCAGTCACGCAGCAGAACCTCCGGCGACGCGCTCGAGCGGCGCGGCCGCCAGCAAGCCTAGCCACCAAGCCAAGGTACCAAGCAATGGGTCCCTCTTTTGAAGAAGTGTCTTTATGCTCAGCTTTTTTTCACCATGTGTCTTTAAGCGTCCATCTTGTAGCCTCAAATGTGGGGGTCATCTACCTGATTCAGGCAGAGGCCCCCCAGGTATTCTATCATATATCCGAAGATCTGATTGTTAGCTACGTTAGCTACGTTCCGATCAGCGGCTCTTGGCTCCGGATCAGCAGCTCCTTGGAGGTGACGCACCAACGGTCAGGTGGCACTGCCTGAAACATTTCGTGTGCGAAGACTGTCCCGTGGCGGTCGTTCCTGCGGGGGTCGTCTCTGTCAATGGGAAAACACAAACCACACCCAAACACGACGAGTACTCCCTGTTCCAAGTTCCCTGTCCCCAGTTTGCTGCCCCCAGTTCCCTGCCCGCCAGTTCCCTGTCCCAGTGGGACTGCCATATATACCGATCAATTGACCCCCCAAAACCACCCTAATGTAGGCATATATTCATACAATACATGGAGCGTCTGGGACATGGAACAAACAATGGAGAAACGACTCCCATCGGTTTGTGATCCAGAAAGATCTCACCTCGATGATTTCCGATTGTTTTATGAAGATCCAGGCACAGTTTTGGCATGGCGGGACGTCTGTTCCAAGAAATGCGCTGTGGGACGTCTCCAATGCCACATGTCGCTTCTTGTGCAAGCTTGATGCATACCAAAATCCAACAACCTCATCTGTTCCCCACTTCTTTCATCCGCTCCAAATCACTCCCCCGACACAAAACACATATACCGCCCAGATGACCGCCCACGACAGGCCATTGCCGGGCCCTGTTCTGGGGGCCCGGCGAGGGTTGGGTGAGATTTGGCACACGGGTCGTGTGCGCCGCCACGGCCAACACACGACGAAGCGTGCGCGTGCGTCGGCAAAGTGGCCTCGTGCAACTCATAGGCGCTCAACGTGGTCGTCCGCCTTGACACTCGGCTACTCGTCGCGGTGTGTTCCGCGGCCACCGTGAGATCCAGCGTCATCGAGGGCGGCCAGGACGGAGAAATCCGCCCAAATCCATGGAACAAGCAGTGAATGTCATGAGAACCAGCTATATTAAATTTGAATGATCAGCTGTGGATGCATGAGGTGCTCAGATACCATTCGGACCAAGTCCTTTAAGGACTGTGTTGCACCCACTTGTCCCACATGATCAGCAACTTACACACAGCAAGACAGAACCATAAACGGCAACAAACACACTGCGCCAAAACACGGCGTAGCCACCGGTGGACTTGAGTTTTTTTGATGGCTCGTGTCCTCCCCTATGTTCCTTCGAAGGCAACCTGTGGCTTCTCAGGTCTCTACGTCGGCCGAGGCTGTTCCAATGATGTGAGCCACGATCAAAAATGGTTGAGTTGCAGTTGATCGGAATTTGGTGAGTGTATTGCTGTTTTCCATGTTCGTCAGGTTTTGTCACGTTTTTGGATGTTTTTGGTGGCGTTCTTGGAGCCAAACTGCCAAACATACATTTTGATATCCCATGATCACAAGTAATTTTGAGCCTAGGGCATATTCACTGAATACTCTGGCATTTTCATCGGCTGGAGAGTTCTCAGAATGTGTTTGTCAATCTGTGGCAACCTATGGTTGGGTCAAAAGGAACGTAAAGCGACTCTACCAGGACCTTCCAATAGGTACTACTAGTAACAAGAGGCTACCGCTATAGCTAGAAGCTTCCTTGGGCATGAATTTCACCGTTTCACCTGGTTACTAAGCAGAAGCTACGCAGCTACGGAACGGTATGTGAAGCGGAATCGTTCGCATCGCATCCAGCGTTTCCCGGTGCCCAAGCTGTTCGGTGAAACCGACCCGACTCGTCGCACGGCTGTTCGGGTAGAGACGCAAGCGAGAGACAGAACCCAAACCAGATTGGCCTACTAGTCTACACTGGGGTCATGGAATGGGGATCCATGTAAGCATGAGCAATTCCAGTTTCATGCATGGTTTGAGGAAGGCATGAACAGTGTGCGCACTGTAGACCCACTGAAGCCCTCTAACAAAGTTTTTGTTGAAGTGCTCAAGTGAGCCAGTGTGTGCTTTCATCTGCTTTTTCTGACACCTAAACGCTCACCAAAATCCGCCGTCTCACCCACCAAAAACCATGTCTTCACTTCTCTTCCAAGGATTTCCCGGATCCCCAAGAATCACAGATCTGAGCCGTATACACTACCCACCAACCCGCAAACACGCACCAAACCCACATCCACGGGTCAAAACCAACATCAACATCAAAAACCACCCGTCACCCGTCCCTGCCCGGGCCCCGTTTTTGCTCGTTTCCACCTCGCCCGCTTTGTGGCGTTTGTGCGGTCGCGCCCGCTTTGTGACGGAAACCAAACATGTCCTGCATGGCAGGATGCGGAGACGTGTCGCCCCGGTACAGGTCCCAACAACAAGACGGGTCGCTCGTTGGAGAGGTCATAAGGCCCAAACAAGCAGCTAAAAGAAGCTCTACCTAGAAGCAATGGCCTCCAACCTAATATAGCAATGGCCTCTAACCTAAAATATAGCAATGGTCTCCAGAAAGAAGCTCTATATGAAATATTTACGCCAACATATTTATCAGTGTTCAGCATGAATGTAGGCAAACAATAATGTCAGTCCCAGGCAGGTCGTGGTTGGGATTGTTGGATGTCGAGCTTTCCGATCTCGACGAAGCAATTCTATAGGGATTCTTGATGTTTGACCAACATAAATTGTGGTTTGGTGGGGGAGGTTTTGGCTCACAGCCAAATATTGGAGCATTAATGGCTAGGTTGATGGCCTTGGACCAATGTGGAAGCAACATGTAAAATATTCTTCATCAAATGTAAGTCAGCCAAAGCCTAAACTCTAACACGTGCAATGGTGATCAATAGCCTTGTTTGATGCCTTATCACGTTTAGTGGACAAATGAGCGCGAAGTCCTACCTGTAGCGGAGTAGTGGAAGTTCCATTTCCATAAGCACCTGCTGGGAAAAAAATGCGAGGACTTCCACTGGCACCCATCATGTTGTAGGGCACCATTCTCAGGATCCTGGCTGTGGCTAAGGTTCTCCTAATCTGTTCCTGGTCAACCAGGGAGGTGAAGAAATTCGCTTCAAAGTCCAATCACCACCTGTCTGGGACTGGTCTATTAACCGATCACTTAGGGTGGATTTCAAGGATCAATGTAGCTCAATCATCCGGTCCTAAACACTCTATCTACCCTTGGACGAACATGTAACCATGTGATGTGTTCGTCAGAGTGAAACAAATGGAATAATTAGTTCTGAAAAGTTATCAACATTTCTTTCGGTTCAATTTTCTATGGGAATGTAACGATTCCAGTACTGTGGATGCTGTACGATACATGGACCTTTTCGATGTGATCCATCCGCTCCGTCGCCAGTCGCGCCCGCCGTCCTCAGGCGACGGATGGCCATCGCGGACTCGAAGAGTCTCAGCCTGGAAGACACCAGAGATGATGACACGTACGGCCAGGCTGGAATTGTACAGAATAGGAAGCGATCGGCTTCTACGGATTGAGAGTAGATGGCACAGACCTAAAGTTTGGTGGTTCTACTATGGACCCCCATCTATAAAATGCTATCGAACCTCTGAAACCACTGTAGATTGAATGTTACCTTTTCTTCACCTGTAGACAAGGAACCTCGTCTATCGACTCTATGAAAAGAGATGAAAATGAAACATTGCATCATGACTGACTGGTTGATCCAGGCAGTAGCATGTTCCAATAGTCTAGATCCAAACACCCAGTTCCCAGCAATCAATCCCATCATAAAGAGAATGCTAGAAATGTATTCAAGCTTCAGCATCTGAATCTCAGTGTGGATTGAGTGCATCTTTCTACAACTCTACAACCGTGAGTCTAATGAACACAGACAGGTTGCTTCCAGCTCCGACCGTCACCATCTAAGGGGGGTCCTGTATATACCATAGAACATCCTAGAACCCGTGATATGACCTCTGTTTGATCGGAAAAAGCCCATGATATGACTCCGGCCAGGAATCACTCAGGTTCCAATGGCCACCTCACTCCGACTCACCGTGTGGTGGCCGGTTTCGCCGATGTTCCGGACCCCGGCGGAGGAAGTCCGTACCCAGCACCGCTCCGCGGAGCAGGCGCTCCCGGCCTTGCAGCGCTGAAAAACCTGGCTTTTCACTCTCGATCTTCGGAACTGGGAGGAACTGGATGTGTGGTGCGTGTGTGTGTGTGTGTGTGTGTCATTGAATCTCCAAAGAATGCCTGTTTTTCTATGCTTGTTCTGTGTTCGTTCTATGTTTGCTTTCAGTTACTGTCATGGTTGAAGATTGGAAGCTGGGAGGTTGGTCCGAAGCAATAATTGCAGAAAGAAGGTCACCGGAACATAGTGTTGTTTGCTCTCCTGGTCTAGAGGGTTGCCCCTCACATCTTGCACAGTTCACAGTAGTATTGGATTAAGGCAGGCGGCCCGAGCAGAAGGTGCAGAAAATCAATCGTCAATCGATTTCAATCGCATCTAGAGCATCAAAGCCTATCAAATCATCGATGTTTCAACAAGCATGGGCAGCAAATCTCTTGGAAAAGAACATCATCATCTCCCCTTGGGCCTTCAGAAGGCCCCTGGTCCTTTGTCGCAGTCGCCCAGTTCACCATCCAGTCACGTCCTTCGGCCAAAAGCCTGCCTCCAGCCTCAGACTCTTCCATCTCCTGCGCAGTGGCCACGGTGAGTGCCGTGGGTGGCACGGCACCCAGCACCGTTTTGGAGGAGAGCTCGATCGCTGCGTACCCAGTGGTTTCGACGAACGCCGCAAACGGCATGGATCCGAGGATCCCAAGGAATCCACTGTTTCGAACGACCGATGGCAGTTGACCTCTCCTAGAGGTGGACTGGTCACGAGTCATGTGTGGAGAAGAAACCATCGCCAGCCGCCAGCGGCAGCCAAAATGGAACTCTTAATCAATCGTTCCAGACTTGGTACACTGACCACTGACATCTTCAAAGAAGAGGATTATAAAACTCACCGCAGAAGGCGTTCAAGAGTGTATTGCCTCAACGCTATGAACCTTAGATTTCACTTCTGGGCGCTCCGGGTGCTTCCTCCGGGTGCTTCCCCTACTTCGCACGGCCACGCAGCAGAAGAACGGCGGCTCCAGCATCAGCCGATCGTCACGTGCAGAGGGGCCTGGCGATGGACAAAGCCTTCTTTTCAGCGATGCACAGTCCCAAGATACCCTCCCGCAACCTAACATGGAACCTAAGAATTGACCAGAGGAAGACCATTTTCCGAATACCAACCCCAGTCGCCCCAGTGGTTTGGGGGTTCCATGTGGTCCGAATAGCAGGGGAGCAAAGAATGCTTGAACGAAGGCACTGGATTCACGATGACGACGATGACGACTGTGACCTAGCGTTCAAGATTGTGGGGTGGATGTATAAGGGACCATCTCATCTCAACAAAGCGTTCCACGAGTCACACGAGTCTTTGGGCATTGAAAAAAAACATCGGAACCCACCAAGTGCACCCTGCGAGGTAAGGGGGCATGACAGGTAACCCAGCATGTGGCAGCATGCGGCAGGAGGATTCACTTCCCTAGGGCTTCTGGCCTACCTCCGTGTCGAAGATGGTTGGGGTGGGTGCCAGGGGGTCTAACCACCGAACCTGAATATATGGTTGGAGCCCGAGAGCTTCTACGCATTGCCGGCTAAGGCAAAGACATTAGCTCCGTTGAATCCAGCTGCTGTTTCTGGTATGTCCAAACAGTTTGGGTGTCTAGGGTTCCCAGTGTGAGCATGTGCAAGCAGGATAAGTGATGACCAAGCAATTCTTGCAGTTCCAGTTTCTGCGTACTACCCAAATAAAGGGCATCTAAATCCGCCGACCCCGGCCTATAGCCAAAGCCTAGGCGGGGAGGCGCCTGGGACACCGCAGGGTGAAGCAGTTGGCCAAGCCGAGCAGAACCCTTCCAAGCACTTCCAAAGGCGCAGGATGAAGCAGTTGGCCAAGCCTAGCAGAACCCTTCCAAGCACTTCCAAAGGCCTGTCCGAGGCCTCGCCAGCCGGCAGGCCTGTTGCGGCCTCTCTGTGGCCTGTCCGAAGCGTGCCTCCTCTCTTCTTATGGGCTT